TTCCGACAGCACGACGGCGTGGTGACGGTGTTGGTGAAGAACAATCTTCGCAGGGCTTCGCCTAAACACTACGAAAACTATGACGGAGGATAAACTAGAGGGGATGGGGTAGTCGGCACATGGCTTGGTGTTTCTTGATGTGTCTTGGGTGCTAGCCCTACCCCTCTATTTATATGTTGAGCCTTGGGGTCGAAACTAGGAGTAAAAGCCTCCACAAAGTCGGTTTCACCCGAAAGGCAAGAGTCCTTCTCGGACTCCAGTGCCAGACGCCAGGGTTCCCGGCATCTGCACCCAGATGCCAGGGACCCTGGCGTCTGGCCCCTGGACTCCGCAAAACTTCCTTTTGCGCTTTCCAAAAACCTTGTGGGCTTTCCCATTTGGCTCAAATAAAGTGTTCTCGTACCCAAACATTTCGGGAAACATCCGGAACCCCTTCTAGTGAATTCTGGAACCTTCCGGAGACCAAACACTATTATCCCATATATCAAACTTTATCTCCGAACCATTCTGGAGTTGCTCGTCATCTCCATGATCTTATCCGAAACTCCGAACAACATTTGGTTACCAACATACATAACTCATAAATACTATATCATCAGCAAACGTTAAGCGTGCGGACCCTATGGGTTCGAGAACTATGTAGACATGACCGAGACACTTCTCTGGTCAATGACCAATAGCGGAACCTGGATGCCCGTATTGGCTCCTACATATTCTACGAAGATCTTTATCGGTCGAACCGCATAACAACATACGTTGTTCCCTTTGTCATTGGTATGTTACTTGCCCGAGATTCGATCGTCGGTATCTCAATACCTAGTTCAATCTCGTTACCGGCAAGTCTCTTTACTCGTTCCGTAATACATCATCCCGCAACTAACTCATTAGTTACAATGCTTGCAAGGCTTATAGTGATGTGCATTACTGAGTGGGCGTAGAGATACCTCTCCGACAATCGGAATGACAAATCCTAATCTCGAAATACACCAACTCAACAAGTACCTTCGGAGACACCTGCAGAGCATCTTTATAATCACCCAGTTACATTGTGATGTTTGGTAGCACACAAAGTGTTCCTCCGATAAACGGGAGTTGCATAATCCATAGTCATAGGAACATGTATAAATCATGAAGAAAGCAATAGCAACATACTAAACGATCGAGTGCTAAGCTAACGGAATGGGTCAAGTCAATCACATCATTCTCCTAATGATGTGGTCTCGTTAATCAAATGAAAACTCATGTCTATGGTTAGGAAACTTAACCATCTTTGATTAACGAGTTAGTCAAGTAGAGGCATACTAGTGACACTATGTTTGTCTATGTATTCACACATGTATTATGTTTCTGGTTAATACAATTCTTGCATGAATAATAAACATTTATCATGAAATAAGGAAATAAATAATAACTTTATTATTGCCTCTAGGGCATATTTCCTTCATAAAGAACATGCCAGTACTGGTATCTTTATTTAATATAATGTAATAGTCCATGAATTTAGGAGCTCAAACTATGATGCTCAAAATCCAGAGCATGCCGCGTTAATATTAGGGCCTGACCATCATGTTTGGTCAGGTCATTTCAATAAATTTTCTTTCGTCTTTTTAGGGAAAATTTTCTTTCATCTTTTTTGAGGGAAATGCCATCATGGCGGTTTATATTTCATGTGCAAACATCGATACATCCTTTGTCAATACATCTACTAGAAAATCCGGAGGCTCCGATTTCCAGACAATGGTTCTAGAGACCTCCGAATTTCTAGCCAACAATTAAATCTACCGTCATATTGGCCTCCCTAGGACGATGAGAAAAATCTATTGAAATAAAATTACGAGCTAAAAATGAGCATTCTTCATAAATTGCCGCTGCCGGACCATGTGAGTTTCCTCCATTTTGCATGATCTCAATAACTTCCATGCAATCACCTTCTACGCAAATTTTGTTACATCCCATTTCATTGGCAAGGAGGAGTCCATCTCGTAATCCCCGTGCTTCTTCCGTCTTGTACGAATGGGATGTTGCTGCATGATGCTGCCACAAAGAAGCCCGTATGGTCCCGCAGAATCACACCTGTCGCCCCAGTGCCATTGTCACTATCATGGCAGTTTATATTTCATGTGCAAACATCGATACATCGTTTGTCAATACATCTACTAGAAAATCCGGAGGCTCCGGTTTCCAGACAATGGAGACCTCCAAATTTCTGGCCAACAAATCTGCTGCCATATTGGCCTCCCTAGGACAATGAGAAAAATCTATTGAAATAAAATTACGAGCTAAAAACGAGTATTCTTCATAAATTGCCGCTGTCGGACCAAGTGAGTTTCCTCCGTTTTGCATGATCTCAATAACTTCCATGCAATCACCTTCTACGCAAATTTTGTTACATCCCATTCCATTGGCAAGGAGTCCATCTCGTAATCCCCGTGCTTCTGCCGTTGCCGCATCTTGTACGAATGGGATGTTGCTGCATGATGCTGCCACAAAGAAGCCTGTATGGTCCCGCAGAATTGCACCTGTCGCCCCGGTGCCGTTATCACTATCAAAACCAGCATCAAGATTCAGTTAAAGCATGCCCTGCAATGGCTTGTCCCAGCCATGTCTCTTTATTCTGCCCTTCTTTGAATTTGCTCTTGAGATTTTTTTTCGCAAGTGCTAAAATTGCTTGCGCCGATCTAATGAGTTCATATAGTTTCTCACCATGGGTATACCTACGTCGCTCTCACCATAAATACCACCCCACCGTGGCAACAAGGTCATTGCGCTGGACATCACTAACCAACGCCTTCGTTGGGTTCTTGGACATAAACAGATCCGCCATAACTGAGCCGCCCTCTCTATCCATCATGCAAACCTCATTAACCACTGATGCCAAACCAAGCAGGCGTCAAACTTGTTGAACACGCGGGCACAGGAAGAGAGCATGTCAAATGCTCTCACAATCTGAGTTACACAAAGGGCATTGAGAACTAGTTATAATGTGTCTATTTGTAAGAACTCCTTGACATGGGATCGCTCCAAGCAAAGTCTTCCACACGTGGATTTTTACTTTTGATGGCACATTCAATTTCCAAACGGTCCTCCAAACTGGACTAGTACTTGAGGCTTGTATTGAGTTAGTCATCCTCAACTTTCGTCCATGTTGGTGCTCCCATTCTTCATGATAGGCCGAGTTTACCGTAAATGATCCACTCCTATGTAAATGCCAAGAAACAAAGTCCTCCATCATCCCTACAGCCAACGGGATATTCCGAATACGTTGCACATCAATTGGCCAAAACAACTCATGAATCAACTGTGCATCCCACACTCTGTTATCTGCATCAATTAATTCAGACACCTTGGTGATCACAATGTTAGCTCTAGGTGTCATAACCTTTCGAGTGAGGCTGCTTGATATTCATGTGTCCTTCCATATACTTCCTCTGTTCCATAATAGATGACACAATTTTATACTAACTTTAGTACTAAAGTTAGTACAACGTTGGGTTATCTATTTTGGAACAGAGAAAGTATTTATCTGTGACTCATCTCCTACTCGCCATATATTCCCTCTCTTGAAAGTTTGAATGCCATACCAAAGACTTTGTGAAACGTTGTGACGAATGAATTAATAAGGGCATGTACAATGGTGGCATATGGTTACATATGCCCTATGACAAAAAGTAATTTAAGGCACCTACATTTATTATTTTTTCTCCCCAATGCAAGCTACCACTAGTGGGACTCATTAAGAAATAGAAAATAAAGACTAGTACACATGCATCTCTACTTTTTACTTCAACCTTTTCAGCTTTTGTCACCGGTCCACACTTTTTCTCTTCAAACACCCGCCTCCTGGAGAGAATCTCGCTTCCCTATCCAAACCTACTTTACGTCATATCCGATTCTACATGGCATCCAAAGCATCACCTTGAGGCTATGCATTGTACATGCTCTAAAGGGTCGGCAACCAGTGCATCTCCCGAACGCCCGCATCAACGTGGGCCCAACCTGTCAACGAAACTGCGACAGCTGTACTGGGCGGTACGCGTACACCAAGCATTGCCGGAAAAAGAGACAAATGAAGGGCGAAGCGCAGAGGGTTGACATGTCAGCGGCACGAGGCGGGCAGGCCGAGAAGTAGAAAGACCCATCCGTGGTCGGCCGTCCCCTCCATCGCCTTCTCCTCCTCCGACTTGCACGCCACCGATTACTCCCGCCTCTCGCACCTCTGGTCTGGGCAACGCCAACGCCAACGCGACGCGAGCCAGAGAGTCTCTCTCTCCGATCCGATAGAGCTCGCGACCATTTCCACCTCTCGTCGAGCCGCCTCCCTCCACCTAACCTAACGCCCACCTAATCGCTCGTCAAACGCAAGGATCCAAGAAAAAGGGGGGGTGGACCGATTTCGCGTCCATTTTCTTCTCTCTCTCTCTCTCGGCCAGAGGGGAGGGAATCGAGGGCGGCCATGGACTCGCCGGCGTCGGCCTCCTCGCCGGTGGAGTTCCTGCTCCGGTGCCCCACGCCGAGGCGGAGGAGGCTGCCGCTGGCCGGCGCCTTCTTCGCGCCCACCGCCCTCGCCGGCGCCTCGCTGCTCCGCGCGCTCGCCTCGCTCGCCGCCGGGCTGCTCGCCACGCCGCGCCCGCCGTCGCAGCCGCGGAACTTCGCCGCGCTCGCGCGCCGCCTCGCGCTGCTCAGCGCACTCCTCGACTCGCTCCTCCTCGACGCGCCGGACCGCTTCTCCGACGCCGCCAACCTCTGCTTCCGCGAGCTCTACGTCGTGCTCTTCCGCGCCGACCTGCTCGTCTCCTACGTCGCCTCAGCCGGCCGCGCGTGGGCGCTGCTCCGGGGCGCCCACCTCGCCGCCTCCTTCCGCGACCTCGACGCCGAGCTCGCTGTCGTCCTCGACGTCATCCCCGCCGCCTCCATCCGCCTCTCGCACGACGCGGCCGGCCACCTCGACCTCCTCCGCTCCCAGTGCCGCCGCCGATCGCCCGCACAGTACCACGACCCGGATGAGGCTGCGCTACGCGACCGCCTCCTCGCCGCCGTCCAACAGTTCGAGCTCGGCCAGCCGCCTCCGCTCAAGTCGCTCCTCTCCGACGTTGGCATCTCTGACGCTGCGTCTTGCCAAGCTGAAATCGACTACCTTGAGGAACAAATCTTGAGTCAAGAAGAGGATACCGACCTCCTGCTCGTCGGTGGTGTTCTCGCCTTGCTCCGCTACAGCCTCTTCTCGCAGTTCGACCCTGGCAACGCAAAGGCGGCCCGGTATTGGCCGTCGGCGGGAAACTTGCAGCGGCTTCCATCGTGGGGCGGCGGCGGCTGCGACGACACCTCCTTCTCGGTGCCCAAGGAGTTCTCCTGCCCGATTTCTTTGGATTTGATGCGCGACCCTGTGGTGGCGTCCACCGGCCAGACGTATGACCGGCCATCAATCATACAGTGGATCGGGGAGGGCCATTCCACCTGCCCAAATTCAGGGCAGGCACTGGCAGACAACCGCCTTGTGCCGAATCGTGCACTCCGCAGTTTGATATCACAGTGGTGTGGGATGTATTGTTTCCAGTATGATTCCCCAGAGAGCAACGAGGGGATGGCCGAATGCGTCGCCACCGCGTGCAGCAGCAAGGCGGCAATCGAGGCAAATAAAGCCACAGCCAGGATTCTGGTCAGGATGCTGGTGGAGAGTTCAGATAGCTCAAAGGCAGTCGCTGCCAAGGAAATTAGGTTGCTGGCCAAGGCTGGGAAGCGGAACAGAGCGTTCATCGCCGAGCTCGGTGCAATCCCGTTGCTCTGCAGGCTGCTCCTGTCATCAGATCAGATTGCGCAAGAGAACGCAGTGACGGCGCTGCTCAATCTCTCCATTTACGAGCCGAACAAAACGCGGATTATGGAACAGGAGGGTTGCTTGTGGCTTATCGTCAGCGTGTTGCAGAATGGCTGGACTACAGAGGCCAGAGAGAATGCAGCAGCAACTCTGTTTAGTCTCTCCGTGGTCCATGATTACAAGAAGATGATCATGAATGAGCCAGGGGCTCTGGAGAAGCTGGCTTGTATGCTGAAAAAAGGGACGCCAAGGGGGAGGAAAGATGCAGTGATGGCACTTTTCAACCTCTCAACTCATGCAGAAAGCTCAGCTCGGATGCTTGAGTCAAGTGCAGTTGTAGCTTTAATCGAGTCACTGAGGAACGACACCGTGTCGGAGGAAGCTGCTGGTGCTCTGGCTCTGCTCATGAAGCAGCCTTCTGTTGTGCATCTTGTTGGGAGCTCTGAAACTGTGATCAGTAGCCTCGTTGGATTAATGAGACGGGGAACTCCAAAGGGCAAGGAGAATGCAGTGTCCGCTCTATACGAGATATGTCGCCGTGGTGGCTCAGCATTGGTTCGGAGAGTAGCAAAGATTCCGGGGTTGAATACAGTAATACAGAACATCATGCTCACTGGTACAAAGCGCGCCAAGAAGAAAGCAAGCTTGATCGTCAAGATGTGCCAAAGAAGCCAAATGCCGTCAGCAATGTCGCTAGGCACTAGCTTGAGGGTGGTTGATCATTCTTTGGTAGGTAACAGCTCATTGAGGCGTGCTGCGAGCTTTGGCAGTGGAGAGTTGTCGAATCCCGTTTCGATATCAGTGCACGTGCCCTAGGTAATCGCCTTCCAATTGGGCAGCCCCATATATGTCTGGCCAGTTTTGTCCAAAAGTTCTTTCATTGCATGCTCAAAATGAAGGTATACAACATTTAAATCTAAAGGAACTAATACTTGCAATATACTATCACATGTGCCTGTGTCTGTGTGTGGGAAATGTGGATAACTGAAGTATATAATCAATGTACATGTAGAACTTCAGCTTGGTGTTTCGTATGAAGCTTGGAAGGTGTTCTGTTTTTGTTCCATTTTTCAAAAGACTATGCTACTTGTTGTAAACTAGCCGGATAATAATTTGTAGCTTGTATTGAGGCAACAATGGAAGGGATTGTAATGTACTCCCTGCGTAAAGAAATATAAGAGCGTTTAGATCACTACTTTAGTGATCTAAACACTCTTATATTTGTTTACAGAGCGAGTACTACGTAAGTTGTAGTAGTTACAGAGACTTGCACATTGGCAAGGAAAAATAACTTGAATGTCAAGTATAGCTTTGTAGAAGAAATCTGGGTCGAACTTTTTACTCCAAAAGGAGCTTTTGGAAGATTAGGCATCTTTATTCGCTGTCATCAACCTATTATTAGAAGTGACTCATCTACATGTCATGCTCATTGTATGGAGGTGCCTAGAAGACCAACAAGATATTCAAAGGGAAGATGCTAACAACTGTTGCAGGAACACTTTATTTTCTTGGTTTGCAGTCACACTATATTTTTCTTGGTTTGCCAGTCACCATCATTGGGTGCTCATGGCAAACCGTGTGGAATACTGTGTTCGCTGGCGATGGAAATTTCCTGCTTTTCGTCTGAATTATGGAGCACTTGTCTGTTTCCAACTTGCGACCACCACGGTCAAATACTTCTGTTGCAGAGACAGCCTAATTAGTTAGACCGAATGAACTATCTATAGAAGTACTCCCTCCGTTTCAAAATGTTCGGCTTGATTCGTTACAACAGGCGTTTGACTTGTATATATTCCCTTCGTCCGGTGAAGAGTGTACATTTAGCTTTAAAATTTGTCCACAAAAGAGTGTACTTCTATCTTCTCAATGCACTTTAAAATAGAAAAAATATTTTTTTCACATCACATGGTAATTAAGACCAATAACAATATACACATGGTCTTTTTAATTTCTACATGCACTTAACTTATAGGGGGTTAGATAATTAAAAAGGGAAGAGATGGTAGCTCGCACTTTTCTAATGTATTTTTTATTTAACTTCATAATTTATCTTAAAAAATTTCTAGATGTACACTCTTCACCGGACGAAGATAGTATGCTTCAAGTGACATAAAATTGATGTCTGGGAGTAATATAGGTGGTAACATCACACTTATCTAGGTAAAATAGATGATGTGACATGTAATTAATAAAGAAAGAAAGACATGTAGTAACATAGCTAGTTATTATAACATCACACACATCAAGAAAAAATAAGTCTACAACCTAATAAATGAAGTGATGCATGACACAACACATATGTTACTATCCACTGTGGAGGTAGTAAGGCTGGTCATAGTGGAGAGTACTAGTGTCATGCATATGACACTAGTCTAAATTACTACCTTCGAACACGGAGTTTATGCACACGAGCACATATGAGCTCTTTATCGACACAGTTGAACGATGTCTTGGGATGCGGTGCAGTTAGTTCGTGGGTGGGGTACAGAGTGCGAGTTATAATGATGTAAATTGGGAAATACGGTCATGGGGACCTCTGACTGTCGACAAGAAAGAACGGAGAACCGGCCGCCGTCAGCCTGCGGGAGGCGAGCCGTGGCTCAGGACTATAGCTGGCCAAACGGGCCGGCCCGGCCTGGCACGGCACGGCCCATCCTAATCGTGCCTGGCACAGCCCGGTCTGCCGAGGCACGATTATTATATGGGCCGTGCCGTGCCAGCCCGCGTGCTGCAGCCTGCAGCCCAGGCACGGCCCATATGCTAATCGGGTCGGCCCACAGGCACGCTAGGCCCACTAATCTGCCACCTATTTTGCGCACTGGACGTTTTTTAACCTATTTTTACCTGTTGGACCACATTATGATACATAAAAAACTAAAAAAAAGATAATCGGATCGTGCCGTGCCGGCCCGCGTGCTCGGCCTTCAGGCCCAGGCACGACCCCTGGCGTGCCGTGTGCCGGGCCTGGCCCGTTTAGTACGTGTCGTGCCGTGCCGGCCGTGCTACCGGGCCGGCCCAGCTATCCCGGCCCGTTTGGTCACCTATAGTCGTCGACGTTGTGATCCGTGGAACAGGGAAAACACTTCCCGGCAGTGGTTGGCCTAGAGGTAGTAACTACGAGGTGGAGGGGTGGGAGTGCTCTGCTTCCTGTAGCCACTCCATACCATCAGCGACGTCGGGTCTCTTGGGATCTCAGCCACCGTCGGAAGGAACCGTCGCCGACGAGGAGATGGGATTCCTGATGCAGCCAATTAAAAGGTAACGCACGGATCCTCTTTCCTGCAGTTCAAATTTTGTGATGAATTCCTTCCCTGTGATTAACTTTCCGTTTCCGCATCTGCCGGAGCAGATTCACGGTGCTTGAGGAGGTCAATAATAGCGATGTCCCGATGGCTCCGCTGCATTACCTTGTCGGCGCCACTGCGTCGGGCGAGCTGCAGCACGCGCAAGCCCTAGAGCTGAGCATGGACGGACAAATTTGTGCGACCCAAGCTGTGGTGGTGGCAGAAAGGGAAATTTCACCCCAAAAGGCTTGATTAATGAACCTAGAAAATCCCTCGAATTGGATCCGACTAAGCGTCCGGGCTCTCCACCCGCAAGATCCCAATGTTGTAAGCAACTCCTGAAGATCTCATTTTAATAAAATGAGAAATGAGATCTTCAAGAGTTGCTTACAACATTGTAAAATTCACTCGCAAATCGTATGCGTTTCACCAGTCTTTCAAGCGAGTTGCTTTTTTTTTGAAGCACCACATGCCATTCATATAGCAAACAGGAGTACAACACATGTAGTAGCACCCAGACGAAGGACCCAGAACACACAGGTGTCCAGAACATAAGCAGAAAACACCCCAGAAAAAGAAACAAGATTACAATCAGGCCCTTGGGGGTCCCTGCACAACTCGTCGTCGACGCCCTGCATCGCCCGTCGCGGCCGCCGAAGCACCGTCGAGGGAGAGGAAGACGAACGCCCAACACGCCGTGATCCGACGAAGCACCATCGCATGAAAAGCTTTGTGAGCCGAATGAGCGACCCACCGCGAACGGCGGGTTCGAGAGCACTGTGGCACGTCGGCCGGGACCAACCCCATGCTCGCCGGATCGCAAATCCGCCAACTTCGAACAACAGGGTCGAAGGAGAAGGCCGGATCCGCCTCCCGCTAACCACAATCCCTGCTCCAAAACACCCGCGTACCTGAGATGGCCACCGCTGTCGCCATCGAACAAGACGACCCGCGGAGGCCATCGAACTCCTGTACAGCCATCCTCGGCTTCCCGTCGGCGCTGGAGGAGACGCCGCCGTGACGCGGCTAGCCAAGGAAACAAAAGCCTCGGCAGGGTCGTCGCCGCCGGCACGCCAACCCTGCATGGCACACCATCCTCCCAGATCCATGGCCGACGAAGGACAGCTCCGCGTCTGAAGGGATCTGGAGGAGAACTTATTCAAACTCCGCCGTCGAGCACACCAACGAAGGCGAGCGACGGACGGCCGAAAAACAAAACAGCAAGGCCCTAAGCCTACTGCTATACAGCTCCGCGCCGCTGGATCCGACGGTTTCTCACCCGCCGACGAGCACAAGGCCCTCGACGGGGAGAAATCGCCAGATCCAGTGCCGGAAAACCAGGACTCCTCTGGCCGCCTTTTACTGTAGAGAAGGGTCGAGAGAGGAGCCAGGTGTGGCTATGGCCGAGCCAGCGATGTTTTGGTCCTTCAAGCGAGTTGCTTACAAAATTGTAATGCGATCTTCAGGAGTGCAACATCTTTTTCATCGATGTGGCGACGTGCGTGCCGATTACATACACAGAGCCCCTGTTACCTGAGGTGTGCCTTTTAGATTTATTGTTTTGTGAACCCAGCTATCTTACAGGAGTAGATTGATGTGCGATGTTTATTTCCTGGTACAGAGATAGAAAATACGGCTACACTAGTGGGAAGTGCATAGATACATGAATGCTTAATATAGTAAGCAGACATTGATGGTGAGCTAAAAGAAAATTTAGTAATTTACTATGTTATATCTTCATCATATAAACTAGTGGTTAATTTCATGTGATAAATAGTTCAGGTAAGTTTTATGTTAGGAGTGCGCCAGGTGAACATCTGAATATTGCAGAATTGAGCGCGGATAGGGTTGATGTATCAGAAGTCAATAAGAGCCTGGTTTGGGTATCTACCATCGGAGTTGCTTATGGACTTTGATATGGTCTTTCATATAACTATTAGAGGAAATATGCGATTATCCTAGTTTAGGGTCTTTTATATAACTAGTTTCTGAAGCAACCGATAAGAAGGTACAAACAGCCCCACTCCCACCACCGACCCCACCTCCTTTTTTGGTTCCTTGTAGATTCCATGATCATGATGCCGATCTGAAGTTTGAACCGCTTCCTTGCAGAGCTACGCTGATCGAGGATGTTAATGATAGTGACATCCTATGGAGCCCCTACATTATCCTTTGGCTGCACCGCCAGCGGGGATGGGGTAGAATCAGGCTCCGGCGGAGAGCTTCAACGGGCAGATTTGGGTGGAGGAAGCAGCGGTAGCGGAGCAGGGGGAGGATTCACCGCAGGCTTCGGCACAGTTGGTAGGGAAGCTGGATCTAAGAGCTTTAGGGTGGTCACGCAGGTGGGGAATAAAGATATCCAACCTAGCAATTAGGAGGGCTTCTTGTGATCAAGGGAGTGAAGTATGTATGGCGTTGATTCAAGTTAGCAGGGAAAATAGCATTGGTAGAAATAGCACCCGGGGGCGACAGTAGAATACTGGAAAACTGAAAAATACAAACTACTCCCTCCGTCCCATAATATAAGATCTT